ACTGGGGTTGTAGGGCTGCTTAGAGGCAGCTGCAGACAGGAGAAGGGCCCCTTCGGAGCGGAGACCGTCCCGGAGGGTGATCGTCATTCACCCGGCGGGGGTGTGCATGAAAGCAATAATTACACCCTGCCGAACCACTCTGAAGAAAAAAAAAAAAATGAGAAGGGAGATTGCTAGTCCTGTGACTCTTTTGTAGGGAAGCACTATGAAACTATATCTGGACCGTCCCTTTTGGGTGACACATGAAAAAAGGAGAAATTCCCACCGCCTGTGCTGGTTTATGGTGTTTATCTGTTTTTTGATGTTTCTTTCTTGCAATCCTTCTCTTGCAGCTGGGTCTTTTTGTGGGAGAAGGGCTACCAGGAAACAGACTCGGTGGTCAGTTCCGTAACCACAAAGGTGAAAGGAGTAACGCTGACAAACACATCCACCTTGGGAGCCATGATCTGGGATGTAGCTGACTACGTCATCCCTCCTCAGGTATCAATCGCTTTCACATGCAGAGGGAGGGTTTTCTAACAAACAGCTACTCCTCTGCCAAAGTCCACTGAGGTCTGGAGCAGCTTCGGCTCCAGCGTGGCCCTGATATGAGAGAATGAAGCAGCTTTGCTTTATTGCAGATCATGCTGAGGACCTGCACCACTAGCCCTGGGGAAGCTTTTTTCATGAAAAGTATGTGTGTGTGTGCTTGTATAGGAGGGGGAATTTTGCAGGCTTCAGGAAGAAGTTGCAACAATAACCACATGTCCTCTTTCTTACTGCTTTCTAAAACAAACAACTCAAAGTTAACTTGTTGGCAGAAACCCCCGGAATAGCCTGGAGGTCACTTGGTCCAGAACTGAATAGGAGGTATTGGTGTAGTTACTGATTGACTATGTCTGTGGGAATCTGCACTCTGTGGGCAATATGTGGTGGCCTTCAGGGTTGGCAGGCATGGCCAAGCTGCTAGTCATGGGTCACTCTGTCTGCATGAGATGTGCAGAAAAAAGTGACAGATTTAGCTGGATTTTGGCTGAGTGATCATATTTGCATATCAGTGGAGCAGAAGCAATAACAGATCCCAAATCGTACAGATCTGAAAATAATGGAAATGGCGTTCCCTGGAGAAACAAATCAGGACTGGTCAAATTTCTAATAGATATATTGCAAAAAAAGTGGGAATTGCGCTCAGACTTGCAGCTGGAGCTTTATTTCTCCTCCTGCCTTGCGACTCCCCTGAAGAGCTGTGTGATCTCTGTTTTCATAATGTGAATGAGGGAATTTGGGCCAGGTGGGAGGACAGAAAGGGTTGCTAGTCCAGCAGTCCTTCCTCTACCTAAAGGCAGTGGCCATCAGGCAATACATGTAGGAATCTGCTCCTTTAGTGCTACACCAGCACTGTCCAAAGCAAGTCCCCTCTGCAGGGCCACCTGGGCTCTGTCAACGAAGACATTTGGGGCAGTGCCTTGGATATTGTTTGCAGACTCACTCTTAAATTTCCTTCTTGTTTTGCATGTTCAGGAGGAGAACACTGTGTTTGTCATGACCAATGTGATACTCACGCTGAACCAGCACCAAGGCCGCTGCCCAGAGGTAGGTGCAGGATCTGCTTTAATCCTGCCTTGTGTGCGTGGGAGCGTGGGATAGAAAGTTCGTAGAGTTTAGTGTAATTATTGTTCCTCTCCAGCTTCCAGATGATGAAACAGAGTGCAAGGAGAAGAGCGACTGTGTTCCAGGATATGTCAGCACCCACAGCAATGGTAAGAAGCCTACTGCAAGGGCTCCTTTCAGTCTGTGTTGTGATACCTCTGTGCTGTGCCTTCCCTCCTGTGAAGGAAGCAGCATTTCACTTAAGTCTCCTTGTTCTCATTGTCTCACACCTAAGAGAACTGAAAGGGAAGCTCAGATTTTTCTTCTGGGGAAGAGCAGATGGGCTTAGACCGTGTTGGGTGGATGCTGGACAGATGTGTGCTTTGGTGAGTTAGCAAACAGTGCGAGGGCTTTTTCAAGACCTTGAGTCCATGAAACAGTATTTCACGTAGATGAGGATTTGACTCAGAAAAAGGACCTGATGCTTCTTTCTCTGAAATTGCACTACAAATTGCAATGGAAGATAATGGGGGTCTTGGTACTGGCACTTCACCTCTGAGCAGATAGCTTTCACCTTATGGAGTGAGGAGATATCACAGGGCAAATACTGCCTCTGTATTTTTGCTTGGTGGTACCTCCATTCACATGTCTTTCCAGGCATCCAGACTGGGGATTGTGTACCGTACAACGACAGCATTAAGACCTGTGAAGTCTTTGCATGGTGCCCTGTAGAGGATGACTATCACGTACCCAAGTGAGTGCTCTGTCTTCCTACTGGAAGACAGGTGGCCTGTCTGGGAGACAGGTGGCCTACTCCCACCTGTCCTACAGGTGGCCCTCCTGAGAGGAGGCTAGCAGTATGCAGCTGATGTTTCTCCCTACGAGGTACTATTGGGAAAAGCTGAAGAGGTGATCACCAAGGACCCTGCAGAGTCCTGTTTGTGAAAATAGAAGTGAAACTTATTTACTTTTCCTATTT